CCATATGGAGGGTACTTCCATAGCAGCTCCATATCATTTACAATGTGTGCAGGGTCTTTCTGATCATTCACTATGGGAGAACTTTTGCCAGTGATATATTTCACAAACTGCTGATCTGTTGTTCATCTCTTCAGTCTCGTTTAAGGATAATGCAACAGTTTGAAGTGATGGAATAACAAATTTATACAAACAACTTTTGTGAGCAGATCGGAATCCCTATGGTACAATACAGGCTAGACACCAGCTTCAGTTTACGATTAATGTGTGAACTGAAATTGTGGATGACTCTCTGGTAGGTCCATATATTCTCTCAGTTACAGGAGCTGTCTACAGAGACTTTATTTTGAACACACTTCCAGACCTGCTAGAGGATATACCCCTGCTAATACGAAGATGCATGATGTAGTTCATGCATGATGGGGCTCCAGCATATCTACCATGAGAGATGGATAGGGTAGGGGAGGACCGGTCCCATGGTCTGCACATTCACCCAACCTCAATCCTTTGGATTTTAATCTGTGAGGGTCACCTAAAGCAATTAGTCTATGCAGCAGACATTATTAAAGCAGAAAAACTTTATCAACATGTCATTAGGGGCCTGTGAAACCATTTGACATCATGTGGGTGTATTTGAAAGGGTCTACCAGTTGGTGATCCGACGAGGGCAAGCCTGTGTAGAAGCAAGTGGAGGACATTCTGATCATTTGTAATGAGTTGTTGTATTGGAGATAAAACAATGGCCTTTAGGACATATGCTTATATGGACATTTTACCTTGTTTTGGTCATCCTGGGTGTGGTGATAAACTACATCTATGTCTTGGGTAAGACAATAAACTATGTCTAACAGCAAAGCCTCTGATCAGGAGGTTTTGAGGAGTGTGGAACCATCTCTTAATTGCTGGTGTTCCCAGGTTCACTCTCATCTGGGGTGGTAGCACCTGTTAGCTATTTACCCATAGCTGAGAACCTAACTCCTAAACTGGGGCCAAAATACTATGAAAGTGTAAAAATAGGTTTTAATATCAGAAATACTTTGTAAAAAATCATTACCAGCAATACATTTTTGAAAAAAAGTATTACCAGCTATACATTTAAAAAAAAAAAAAAAAAATTAACAGCAATATATTTTTGAAAAAAAAAATATTACCAGCAATAAAAATCTTGTCAGGATTAAATAACCCATTGAGGTTGATATGCTGTAAAACAAACCAAACCAAACCTTGTTTTGGTGTCAGGAACCTGCCCCAAAAGTTTGTCAAAATATTTTTGATACACCCCATATATATATCAGAGTCTGTCTAAAATTACAATATCATACCCAGATGTCCTCAAGGAAACATGGCAGGAATCCTTCTATAAGGTAGTGAATGCTGGACAATTTCCTCACACATGAAGAGGAAACATGAGGCAACAGAGATGTGGTTCTACAGGGGGATGCTGGGAACATATTGGGTGGAACATGTAAGCAATGAAGAAATTTTAAGGAAAATGGAAATAAAAAGGACATATATAGAATAAAAAAGATTTGAAATTTTTATGGCATATAATGAGGAAAGAAGACTTGGAAAATTTGACACTCACAGGATATATTGAAGGCAAGAAAGGGAGAGGGAAACAGCAAGTAACCTGCCTAATGATTGGAAATTTTGTAGAGCTAAAAATCACCCACATGCAGAAGGGACATGGGATTCAAAAGTTAGTACTCATATAATTACTAAACTCCAACCAATTTAAACAAGGAAAATATTCCTGTGTGTGTGTGTGTAGGATGCATAATAGACTCAGAAACAGAAATTAAGATAATGAAACAATGTGGAAAAACTTTAACCAATGTATTTGCTTCATTTGACTTCTTCAGGTTAGAATGAAAGGAAGACAAGATCTCAGGGGATAAGTAGAGGACTATAAACCAAATTACCTTATCACATTCACTAGAACCCACCCCAGAAAATGCCTGTATATATATATATATATATATGGACATTATTCGAACTATTGTCCTCATCTTTGTTGCCATTATCACAATGTTTTGGCCTATAAAGCCACTAAGATGCAATTTGTTACTGAATGTGAATGAATAGAAAAAGAAAAAAAGAAAAACATTATTAAGGAGAGAGATAAATAAATAAACAGACCACTTTAATGTGGGTACAAGAACAGACACTTTCCTGTAGAGTTAATCAGTTATCAGCAGCGTAAGATACCATGAAGTGAGCTAACTTACTGTGTGACTGTTGTAACATTCTGGCCTTTCAGCCTCTCCCCATTGAAGAGATTAAGGAGAACGTAACAAAACAGCTGATGGCAATCCTGAAAAATAAATTTACAGATTGATTCGAATAATTTAAAGGAACACTGTGATAAAAAGGTTCCACTAGGAGTACTTTGATGAGGACTAAGACACCATTTGTCTGCTAGACTATTTTTTCATTTAATGGATGGATATTTTTGAAAAACAAGTTTTATATATGATTTAAGAAAAACTACAATTTTCCCCCCAAAATTTGTTTAATCTTTGCCTGAAATGAATATTAAAAATATTATCTTTTCACTTTTTTTGCTCTTTATGTAAGCATGAACTGATCGAATGAATTACTTACTGTAGCGCAATGGACTAAGCTTGTTTGTTTTTTGTTACTCTGTTAGCACTAAAAGTGACAACCTTTATTTATGGTTGACACTTGTCAATATTAACAGGTCTTTGTTGTAAATTCTCAATACCAGGTCTTGTTACTATTATGTATTTTTTTTATTTTAGTCATATTATTTTTGGTTGACTTTCTTTTTTTTTTAATCATTTCACCCCAAACAAAGTGATAATGCCATTAATATATCAGAGGTTACTGAGAATGAAAGAAGACTTTAGTGAGGAGAAAGAACAACAAAATTCAGGAAGTTAGAAGATGGCAAGTAATGTTGAATTTAAATTTTTGAAGATTATAGGTGGCAGGAAAGCAATAAACAAGAAGACAGTTCCACAGGTAAAAAATGCAAAAAAAAAAAGAAACTATTAGGATAGAACTTATGGTTAGATCTAGCTAGTTCAACAGTAAAATGATGAGACCTAACTGCCAATCTAGTAGTATACTTAAATTCATGCAATCAAAGTACAAAGGATGAGAATGAATTAGAAGAATTTTTATGAAAATATTTATAGAAAAGACAGTGGGGAACCAGATCATGATGGTGAGAAAAATGACTGAAGTCAAGATGCCGGGTGAAGACTTATAACATTGCAGTCCCTTTTGATTTTTTTGAGAATCTTGAGATATCTAGTCTGATTCTACTGCTATATATGGCAGCAATATTCAATGCACAGTCAAATAAATGTACATTTATAGATTTGTAAAAGATGGATTCTGATGAGAAAAATTGTCTGGTATGGTACAGTGACCCAACTTTCCTAGTACCAGACCTACCAATTAATTCAATATAATCTTTCCATTTCATGTCAGTGGAAAACGTGAGACTAAGAAGGCACAATCAATCTCCTGTAGGTTAGAATTGGTTATCCTGATGGAAGACAAAGATAGCAGTCTTGTTTTGGTGACATTAAAATTTACAAGCCATTTCTTGTCCCAGTTAACAATTGATTGGAGGTCATTGCCATGCTTTGTCTTTACAAGGGTCAGATTAGACCAAAAATGGAGTATTGCTGCCATATATGGACAAGAGTTGCTCAATCCTCACTTTCCAGCCTTGATAGACTTCAAAACCGTTCATGCATTCTTGTCGATGAAGACTTATTTTCCATTCTGCAGTCTATTTCCAAGACAATTGTTCTGATCTCATTTCTTTAGCTTCACCAGTTTACAACCAGGACATGACGTGCAACTTCTTTCATGGATTTGAATTGTCATCATTTTTTCCGTGTTCCAAATCAAATGTAAAAATAAAGTTCCATGCAGACAATTTTTTTTACAAGAATGGACACTTTTTGGAAACAAACTCCTATATATGTGCTTCCTTGAATGGTACATTCTGACTCTTGACATGAAGAGATTAAATCATTATCTATCCTCATAACTTTTACTTTCTACCACCTCTTTTGCCATTCATGCTCATGGTCAGATCACACTGAAAAACACTGGTTTTCATTCGATCATTGAAGTTAAACCCATTCAATACTTAAATGGGGAATCACTGGGGGACCTGTAAGTGACCTGTTAACACTTTCAGCCCTGACCACCACTTTACCAGCGTTCAAGAAAAATGACAATGACCAGCTACCAGTAGAACAGTGGGTAAACACTTGTAACTATTTTTATATCTATCATGAAACATTACATACAATTATTTGCGAATTTTTACACAGAAGCGTTAAATTTGATGCAGAAGCATTAAAATTGTTCAGGAATGCAGGGCTCAAAGTGTTAAATAGCTCAGAAAGGGTTGATAAGCCATAAAAAACAAATCAGTCTGTTATTTATATCACACACCTCATTCATCATAACCATTTTAACAGTAGACCTCTACTTTTAGTATCTTTCAAGTCTTATATGGAGTAAAGCATTCTTCCCTTGTTAGGTGCCATGTGTAATACACGCTTGGGCGATAATGTTTTTTTTTTTCAATTCAAGATTGACTTGGCAGAAGAATTCTTGTAATAGAATACCATTACTTTCTGCTGGAGACTGCCAACTAAAGCTATAGGACCCAGATTGTCCTGCTATTTAACCCATAGGTTAGTGCCTAAGAGTATTTGCGTATGAGTGATGTAACCAAATTGACTGGAACTTGGACTTAACACTACATTATCCATTGCACCACATAGTATTCCCAAGCAGTCACCCATCTAGGTACTCAACAGGGTTGATGTTGCTTAACTTTGAAACACCAGTTCTCATCTGATCACCAATGTGATATGGCTGTAATCAAGTGAACTATAGTAGTGCATGTCAAAAAAAAAAAATAAAAATAAAAACTCTCTTTGCATGATTTACAAAAAATTGAAGAGTTATCTCCCTTTTCCATAAATTATTATTTTTGATTATTTCAGATTTCAGAAAATGACAGAGCGTGAAAAACAAGAAATGAATTCAGGAAGTGATTCCAAAAGTGAAGCTCCTCCTCACAAAATGAAGAAACCAAATTCGGAACCAACCAGCAGAAATCTTGGTCAGTTTCTTTTCTTTCATTCTTCCTCAGCATTATCTTCCTCAAGTAAAAGGATGTCTTCTCTGGCCTCTGTAACTGTAATACATTTTTTTTTTTTATTTCATTGTTTTTTTACTAATCCTAACTGAGCAGCTGAGTCCTTAACAATATTATCCTTTAACCTCAAGAAACTCCAAAAACAAATATATCCTGACATTTAACCCTTAATATGTCATTGTCATCCTCAAACAGCAGCTGATTTTTTTCTCTTCTATTTATGTCTTCAATGGTGAATATACATTCCTGGTTTCAAGTCATTCTTGAACAAATACATCCTGACATTGAAACCCTAAAGTGGTTTGTCTTAAATACAAAGGGGCCCAACCCACTTCCCAAGATCTGTAAAGCACAGTTTTTTGGTTTTTTTTTTTTTGGATGTATGTGTGAGGGGTACTTAGTTGGACTGTGTAATTATTCATGTTAATCATCATGATGGTTATATATTGCTATGATTGCAAATAACTCCAGAAACAAATACATTTTGACATCCAACTCTTAAAGTGATTTACTCTTCATCTTACTTGATATCCTCAAACCCAAGCTGATCTATCTCTCTCTCTCTCTCTCTCTCTCCTTACACATTATTAATAATCCTGGTGGGTATAAAGAATAGTAAATCCCTCACAGTCAGTCCAATTTGGGTACCTACACTTGAGTGCTTAATGCAGGGTTGGAGTCTTAAATAGTTGGAATTTTTCACAAAAGAAAGTTTGAGAGTCATTTAAAAGGTCAAAGTTAGTAAGTTCAGGAGTGGCTGTCGGAAAATTTCCTCAAAAAAAGAAAAAAAGACCTCACCACTATACACACGAGAATACAGAGTTGAAATGAGCAACATCGAAATATGCCATTTGTGTAGGGAGGCTATGTATGGAAAGTATAAAAGATGTTTTCTCTACATTTTGAAATATTAACAGGAACATATACAGGTTTTATTTTGTGCTTTACAAAAGAAAAAGTATTTTATTCAAAGAAACAGATCTCTTTCTCACAGTGCTTTGTAGTCTATTATCGTAAATGTTTAAAAACAAGTTTCATTCAATGTGATATAAGTGGTCTATTATTTTTATGATGACATTCCTTTATTTCATACCTGGGCTCTGGACTGAAGGTGATTTGATTGTTTTTTAGCCTTTTCTGTAAGGAGAAATGTTTGAAATGAGATCTTAAGTGATGGATTTCTCATCATCAAAAGAAAATGATTACTTGTTGGCTAAGGTAGTTGCATGTTCTTATTTGTTGTCTGCCTACCCTTCTTTGTATTTATTTATTGAATATAAATTATTCCTTAGTAATTTTTCTCCATTTATTTGCTACAAACTTCTTTTTTTTTTTTAAATTTGAGAGAAAAACAATAATTGTAAAATGACATCTTCCAAACATCCCTTTTTTATGATTAGGATTATCATTTAACTGCTGAGAGAAACTAAGTGTTTTTATTAGAAGCCCTTGTTTGCTTATGATTGTGCCAAGAACACAATTATCAATAAAGAATGAGAGAAAAGGAACAGGAAATATTCAATGTGAGATGTAATTGTAACACAGTGGATTTATCTTTAGATGAAGCAAATCTAAAGTAGATTTTTTTTTTTTTGTGCTATTTCTTTTTTCTTTGTTTAAAGAGACAACACCCTGCTTTGTTATGTTTCCCTTTCCTCTGATATTTAAAAAAAAAAAAAAGTTTGAATTTATCAAATAATTCAATCTAATAAGAATGATTGTTTTTGTGCCCAGGCCAAGTATCAAGAGACCATTGAATTTTGGAGTTTGTTTCTCTATTTTAAAAGGGAATTACTTTTGTATTCACCCAGAAGTTTGCCAAGGGCAGTATTTTGTTTAATCTCTTTTTTTTTATTATTGTAAGTGGCAGCATATATTTTCATGAAAATCAAATTAAAAAAAAAGTTTATTTTCCCATTTCATTAAAAATGCTCTTTTTGTAAGAATGAAGATTTTATGTGATTTGGGTCTATTATTATTATTATTGATTAAATCAAATTAATTAAAAATGTAAGAATAAAGGCAATGATTTTTCTTCAACGATTCACGCAAGAATGAAATGAACAAAAAAACATTTGTATTTGTCCTTTGTTCATTAATTACCAAATTTTACTAAATGGCTGTCAAATATTTCAGATTTTAAAAGAATTCTATTTCAGAGACAATAATCCCCCCCACCTCCAGTTTCTTGCCCCACCCACTTTCCTATTTCTTACTTCATTTATGTTTTACTCTATCAGCATAAAAAGTGAAGTTGTGGACTCTTCCACAACAACCTAGTTAACCCCTGCTAGGAAATGCACAATTCCTCTTATAATTTTCACCATCACAATCTTACAAGTTTTCATTGGTCAATCACCTTCAATCTAGCTTGCTGATTGGTCGCGTGCAGGCGGTTTGATTGGTCGGAACTGACCAATCTGTTTTCCCGCATTCTCCATTTGAGCCTCCCATGTGGTACACGACCATTATATAAGCCCAACACGTGTAAACTCCCTCAAGTTTTCTTTCTATTCATCTCTCTCTCACACGTCTCATTCCTTGCTACCAAGTGCCAAGATGTAACCTTCAAGAACTCCCGTCTTAGCCATTGCGGCCAGACGTTAAAGACTATTACCAACATTCACGCAAGTACGAACTCTGAAATCTTTTCTGAACTTTTACCAACTTTACAACTCACAATTCCAAACTTTATTCTTCTAAATTACAGTTTAATATTACTTTCTTTTAATATGAACTCAGGTACAACTAATACCTAATCAAAGGGACACGACTCTGTCCTACCTTTTTAGTTCGCATGCATGTATATCAAATCTTAATAAATTCAATTATGTTTTGAAATCATTCCGTTTAGTTTTGTATTTTATTCTATGTGCTATTTACGTCAAATATAAATTGCATTGCGTCCACGCATTTTCCTTAATCCCACCTTTTCTAGCCAAAGTTAAATATTGGTAACTCAATCACTACAATAATAATGACCGCGATGTTTGTCGTTTGACGTTCACAACAACAATGGTAACACTGTCGCTACAAAGTTAACCTTTCATGATACTTTGCAACTGCAATAGATTTACTACTTTTAATTTCTGTCATATCTGAATATATTTCTGAAATGAGGTATCATGTACATTACATTATTCGGACTATTGTCCTCATCTTTGTCGCCATAGTTATTACAACGTTTTGGCTGTTGCACACTCCGGCCTTCTTCAGGTGGTTGTAATGTCGAACTGAACCCTTTATTTCACTCACTGGGGTAGACTGTTCTGCCATGTTTAATGGATGCCAGTTATCAGTTATCTCCTGTTAATTTCTCTCTGAAAGTTCTCCACTTCCTTAACTGGGTATTGAACTCACACTCTTTGGGTCCTATCACTGGATCTAACTAATGCCTTTATTCACTGTCTATGAATTTCTGGGTATTATAAACCTAATGTCTTCTCAACCATTTTTACCAGAGCTCATATTGCAATTTTTGCTGCTATCGCTTTTCTCTGGCACTTATTACTGGTTCCCATATTGTATTCATTTCTATGCTTGGTCGGTTCAGGAGATTTTTGTGGCCTAGCATATGTGCTGATTCCTTAAGTTTACGAATTTTCCAATGGTGTTCTTTGTCTATGATCTCAACCTGATCCCACAGAGGGCAGTGATCTCCCTTCTCTCTCCATGTGTGGTCAGCCACGCCTGATTTTTTCACTTCCCTCGTGTTACAATTATTTCAAGATTTTCTTTTTTAACTGTTCACATCAGAGTCGCATAAGGACTGGAAACTTACTAGCAAGTATTTTCACAATGTCATAATTGTTTTGAAACACCAGTATTTTAGGTTAGGTATCTAGTGTCACACTTGTGTATTTTCCAGTTTTTATCAATGTCATATTAAAATTTTTTATACCACTATGGGAAAAAAGGCCCTGGATCACATACAGATCTGTTTGGCAACACCAGCTACCTACAGGTTTTCTCTGTTAGCAGCTGCACATTAGATACAGGCCTCTCTGCAACCGTTCAAGGTCCAGGTCTTTCAAGATGCCTCATGGTAATAAAAGCAAGGAGAAAACTAGCAGTCAGCAAGACATAGTGTTATGTGAAGTCGGTCCTGTGGACGTTTTGTTTCTAAAGTTGCTGTGATTTCTGAGAGTGTTATTTTGGTCACCTCCCATCTTTTTTCCTTCATTGCCTATTAACCAAAACCCCGAAGTTGCTTGGAGACCAATCGGTTTGGGGGTTTCACCCAATGTCAATACACTCTTGCCGTAAATTATTCATCATTTTGCTCTGTGAAGTGATCATCTCATCTGCATTGTCCATTGCCAAAATGGAATGGTTTGTGAATGAAACTATGAAAGTAATCTAGTTAAAGCATTTGCTGACAAGGACATGCTTAAAAGTTCTTGGTCTGACCAAGAAATGATTCTAAAACATTTTGGTAAATTGCCATGCTTAATTGTACAGTTGCAGCTGTACTTCTAGACAATTCAATCCTGATTGCTCATATACCCACAGTTAATGGGCATGACTGTTTTGCTTCACTGTTTTCCCAATATTTGATATCTAACTGATATGTCCCAGAAAGGGATATATTTGAACAAAGTAGCTAAGTGGTTTTGGCTACTATAACCAAGTAGAATATGGTAGCAGTAATCAACTGGTACGTGTCGTAGTCGCAGGTAAGAAGTGTAGATCAATGGCATAGTCCAATGGGCATTGTTATAGACTTAGCACTCAGACTAAGGCTCTTGACTCTCCTACACGTCTGTCGGTATTTATGACGGTCACCAGCCAATCATATTCCAGTGAGGGGGAACACAGGTGTTTGCATACTCCATTATATCACTAATCATGACCACAACATAATCAAATTCTTCAAATATATAACCTTCAGATCTCTGCTGCCCTTATCTCTGAATGGATTCTCTATGGCATGGAAGGTTTTAAATAGCCTTGGTTCATGCTAGAATGTGCTGTAGCCATAGACATTGTAGTAGTGTTTATGGTGAACTATCATAGGGAACAGTGCTGTAGGATCTTTACGGCATTCAGAACAGCTTGCAATCATTCTATTTTCTAGAACTCTCTTGAAAAGTACAGATATGCACAAACCAAGGTCAAAAGCAAAAGACTTGAATCCCATGAGTCCTGGAAAAATCACTGACCAAATTCTCAATAGATGGCACTGACACTTTGTCACTATCATAAATGTCACTGAGGTTTATGTCACCTTCATCAGTTTCTTTACAATGAACTCCTCTTTTGAGATGAGGAGAGCCATTTCCTTCCTGACCTACTCCTCGCATGGAGCATAAAACTTGGAAATTTCCAAGCTTATCAAATGGCTTGACCCTAAGAAGGCTATCAATCCAGATAAAACCCTGGTGTTTATCCTTAACAACATTGGCCCTTTAGTTATCTCTGATCGTGGCAAAATTGTTCAACCGCTTCCTGAAGGAGAAATTATTCCAAAGTCTCTTCCTATTGTTAGTGTCATCAGTAAGTTCTTTGAGGTATAATCATTGTTGATCAACTCAACAGGCAACCTCCTGAGTGACAAACAGTACAGGTTTGGATCTGCTAGGTCCACTGCTGATATCTTTGTCATTATTTGCAGAATCAATGAAGCATTTAATAATACATTATGACAATCACTTTAGATATATTGAAAACCTTTGACAAGGTTTAGCATATGCATTACTACAAAAGCTCTCCAGAATAGCCAGTCCCCACAAAGCCAATGAGATCAATGCAGGCATGGAACAAAGCTTGCTTCTCAGTCCTAACCCCTTCCAGATTTATATTAATGATCTGGCTGAGAGTATACTATGATCTTTTGTGGATATATTTGCAGATAATCTCTCCTCTGATGTAGCCCTATCAGATCAATGGGGTGGGAGAACAACTGGCTGGTCATATTCAGTACTTCCCAAAACAAACTAGTAACATTCCATCATTAGTGAGAAGCCCTTGATTTTTTTGCATATCATGGTGAACAAATATTCTTTCAAAAAGGCCTCCTTGCTTTGAGCACCTCTTGGGACCTAAGTACCGCACTCCTGTACTTTAAATGGAACTCACACACACACTTCATCACTAAAGTTCCCTGTGCCACTCCAGTCAGTATCTGCTTCTTCTTGCTATGCTCTATTTTCCTAAGAGCCAGATCAAGGTAAAAATGAGGTTCTACTGCCATATCTGGGCTGGAACTGCAGAGTCTTGATAAAGTTCAAATATTTTACTTCCAACCTTCACATTTCATTTGTAAGGAGGAGGTTCCATTCAAATAGTTTCCCATGAATGGTTACTTGATCAGGTTGAAAGCTTTATGACAGTTTTCTGAACCACAAAGAGCTAAGATGGCCTCAGAATGATTTATATTGTATATATTATTTTTGTATGGAAATTTTTCTGAATTTTATTAAAAACAATGATTAAATATTTGGATTTCTTTTCTTCACTGCTTTATTGCAGTACAACTGTCAGATATTTAACATGCTAAGTATTTATTTTCCTTTACTCAGGTGGACAGAGCAACCTGTTTGCCATGTGGACAAATCGATTGAACCAGACCCAATCTAAAATCCATGAAGAATTTGCAGGACGAACTGAGCATGATGGCAATGGACCTGCAGAACTTTATGCCCATCTCAAAGAAGAAAATCAAGCGTAAGTGAACAGCACTGGTCAAAATGGCTTTAGTTGTCATAATAAAAGTGCACCTTATGTTAATTTCCTGTCTTTCTGTTAAGGCCATTCCAGACAAGAATCTTTGCTTTTTTTATATATATATATATATATATATATATATATATAATCATTATTACAGGCCATTGAATTTTTTTTTTTTTTTTTAAACTATTGGTGTTTACTTACTTTTTAAAAATAATATATCACTCTCCCACATTTCTTTTTCAACATAGAAAATTGTTTTTATTTTAAATTTATGAACTGTACTCTTGTGATGAAAACCCTCTTTGGCACACACTAAACACTAAATAAATAACAGAACTGTCCAACAGAATTAAAGTTTGCATGAAAAAGGAAATATCAAGAATGCGAAAAGTTCACAAACTACGAATTTGCATCTATGCAGAAAAAAAAAAAAACCCAAAAAACAGCAGTTTGTCTTCTAGATTAGGCAGATCTGGACTGAGCGAGTCTGGCCACTTGGCACAGATTGAATTGTCACGTATGCATGCTATAAAGATTCTTTGTAGTAAAGTTTGTTTATCTTAGCTCATCACACCAGTCACCCTGGCTTGTGCAGTAGTTTTGGGACAAGGACAACATTTCTCAGATCTTGACCCTTGTGACTATTTCCTCTTCAAAAATGAAATCTTCCTTTCAAATGGGATAGGAAGACATTGAGAGAATCCAACTGCTTGCTATCCCAAAAAGATTAGTTCCAGGAATGTAAAATGTGCGGCTTTAGAAGGGGACTACTTTGCAGGAGATTAAATGCTGAATTTATATTTGTTGTAGTTTTCTTTTTATAACACCAGTCCCAATACTTTTTTTTTTTTAAAATCAGACCTCATATCATGACCCAGGTTAAAGTTCATTTTTCTTTTCCACTGGAAATCTCTCATCTTACAAACTCCATTTCAGCAGATGACTTTTTTTTCAAACATCATGGAGAAATGCCCCCCCCCCCTCAATTGATTTCCCCCCTCCTCAATTGATTTCCCCCTCCTCCTCAATTGATTTCCCCCTCCTCCTCAATTGATTTCCCCCTCCTCCTCCTCAATTGATTTCTATCTTTTCTTGTCACTTCTGTTTACTACATTATTTATTTCTATTTTAGGGAAACTGGTGAGAACACGCCACCAAAAACACAAACAAATAAACGGTAAGAGAAAGAAGAAATGCAAAGTCGTTTTTCTCTCCCATCTGTTAATGCCTGAGCAGCCGATTCCACTCCCATCTCTGCTAAATTCATCTTTTTTTTTTTTTTTTTTTATTCATGATTTCTCAAATAAATATTTCTCAACTAAATACTTATTGAATTTTTTTATTATTAAAATATTTTGCCTTCATTAGGTAAATAAGATGCATTGATTTGGAAGGTCATTTTAAGCCAAACAATTTTTTTTACATTGTATTTGTGCTGCATAAGGGATTTGAACTTTGCCCTCCATAATGTATTCCAAGGGATTTGAACTTTGCCCTCCATAATGTATTCCAAAGTGATCACTCCTCTAGGTAGCAGTCATACAAGAACAAGTTTTTCAACATGACGTCGCCATAAGTGCACAAGAAAGTATGTCAGCTGCTTCAAGTTACCAGAAAGTCGACTGACTGATTCTTGATTTTTTTTTTTTCGTCATCTGGTTCTAAGTGAATTTAAATGAATGTCCCTAACTGCCACATAGTATTAGGTTGATTTGGTGTGATTGACGGTTTTGTTTGTTATAGGTTATTTAAAGCCAGAAAATATTTGTAAACGGTAAATCATTATTTAAAACAAATTTGTACAAATACATGTTCTACTAATTAACCTATATCGGACGGGTGGAGGTGAACTTGACTTTATTTGCATGCAAATAAATAACAAATACAATTGTAATTGGGAGTTGGTTCTCTGTATCAATTACACCACCTGGGTACAATTGAGGGAGGGAGACACTTTAGCTTGTCAATTTCAGAATCTTCAAAGATTAAGCAAATGCATTCATTTAGAGAGTTACTGCTACTTTTTTTTTCGTTTTTAGGTGTTTTAATAGTCAAAAAGCATACAAATAATATAAAGACTCAGAGTGTTGTGATAACCTCTTTACACTAATTAGGAGCTGGCAGTTGTGATTACTGAGCAATGTAAAAGGTGTAGGGGTGGGGGGTACAGCATTTTGAACAGATGTCAAGTCTTGTCTCTTTTGCACAAGAACAAGAGAAGGGACAGTACTATATATATATTTTTGGTATTTCGGGCAGGTAGCGTAACAGTTATTGGCAACAAAAAGGAATTCCAGCATTGCACTAATACCCTAGGAAAAGGAAAAACTGTCTCGTCTCTTCACCCCATCTCCTTTATTATCTATGAATTGCTAGCAAAGACCTATAATATCATATATCTACTTAGATATAATATTCCTTAAAGAAGTTAATCACCAAAAAAACAAAAAAAAAAAACATGCTACTTAATATATTTCCAAACTACATTTGTCAAAACTAAGCAATCGTCCATAGAGACTACAGACGTAATAGCAATGTATTTTATTTTAACCAGTTACACAAAAATTACAAACAGGATGAATTTGCTTGAAGGGACATACCACAAAAGTAATTATCCGCTATAAACAACACACCTGACCATTGGTGGGGGGGGGGGCATAAATAATTGTTTGATAATGCTAAATCCCTGACCAGAGTTCCATACAGATACATTGAATTCAGCTTACTTGCTGAGAACACAAATATGATAGGGAACTTCTTCCATTGTTAAAAGTGTTGGAAGCCTTTATTATAAAATTAAATAAACGATAAAATGAAATTATTAATATAACTAACATATACAGCAACACGTAATAAAAGAAAAAAAAAGTCTTTGAAAAGGGGGCCAACAGTTGAAATGAAAGTGCATGGAATTGAGTTTTTAGACAATTTTTACACTCATTAAACCCAGAAAAGAAGACACTTGTAGTCATAAAATAAACAAAATTATCTGGTCAGCTGTCTTTGACAAAACATGAATCAGAAACAGGCCACTGCCTAAATACACAACACACATTTGTCCAAGACATTTTGATCAACTAAATGTGAACAGTCTACGCCTGTAGATTAAAGTGCTCAGTTCAAAATTCCCTCTCACTTCCCTGGATCAACACACACACATACCTGATGAAAGTGTGTTCCATGAAAAGAAATATAGTGTACCAGGCTAAAACGGAAGCCATGAAAAAAAAAAAAATTAAAAAAAAATGGAGTAGTAGAAAAATTAAATGTCAAAGGAAGAAAAATTGAATGGAAGATAAAACAATAAATAAAATAAGTTTAAATCACAAGAAATATGAAAATATTGCTGCTGTCGTCAAATTATTGGAAGATCAAAGGTGAATTATGTACCCAACCCACTCCAGAATAAGAATAAACTGTAAATAGAAATTAACAATGTAAAAGTTTTGGCATTTGTTTGTTTAATGGCATATCAACTCCTTATGGGTCATTTAATGTCAAAATTTAATTTACATGAGAGCATTACTAATTTCTTTTACAAAAATGTATTGCTGGTAATTTCCCTACTATGAAAACGTATTGCTGGCACCGTCACTATAAAAATGTATTTTTACACTTTCATAGTGTCTTGACCCCAGTTTGGAGGTTCACTATTTGCCCATAGCTGGGAACAGGTGATACCATCCTGGATAAGGAAAAACCCAGGAACAACAGCAGTTGGTTCAACACTCATCAGAACCTCCTGATCAGAGGCCTTGCTGCTGGATGTAATTTAGCAGCATACCAATAGTGCTAATGTTTTAGGATCAAGTGTAAAATAGTTTTGGGCAATTTTAGAACCGAGTAGAGACAGAAGGTTATTAAATATGTGGCATACCAATAAATGCCTTTTTTTTTTTCCTCTCCCTAATCTTGTTTGTGTTTAGAGTTGAGTTGCACAGATTTGGTTGCGCCGTACAATCACAGGCAGTGTTAAATTCAGAGGTACATTCCAGTTGTTTATACAACTTATTGGAACAAAAATTTGGAACTTTTCTCAATGAATTTCAAGGATAGGATAGATTCATTCATTTAACCACATCTCTGCTATTTTCTTAGAGTGTCTTCTATCTTTAAAGCCACTTCATGATTCCATCTGTCCTGGGTATGAGTATAAACTACATCCACGTCCTGGGTAAGATGATAAACTATGTCCAACAGCAAGGTCTCTGATAAGGAGGTTTTGAGGAGTCTGGAACCAACTCTTAATTGCTGGTATTCCCAGGTCCACTCTGACCCGGGGTGGTAGCACCTGTTAGGGTCCCAGCTATGGGCAAGTAGTTAACTCCCCCACCCAAACTGGGGTCAAAACACTATGTAAATTTAAAAATAGGTTTTAATACCACAAATAAATACATTTTGTCAAAAAAAAAAAAAAAAAAATATTACCAGCTATACATTTTGTCAGCATTAAATAACCCATTGAGGTTGATATGCCGTAAAACAAACCAAACCAAATTCATGATTCCATCCTCCCAGAATATAGCATTTTCTGGCTGATGAACTGGTCTGGAGTTGTTTTTTATATATATTAAAAAAAAAAAAAAAAAAAAAAAAAAAAAAAAAAAAAACAGGCTTCCAGAGGATTGAAGTTCTTCGTATTAGGCGAATTTTTCAAAGTCATAATTCGAGGGTGCATTGTCAGTAAGTATGGTGATTGTAGTAGGACATCTGAACTAAGGTCAATCAATTTTTTTCCAGATTTTCAAAGAGACGTGCCATCTGGCGTTGTCCTGATGAAAAATGATATCCTTTCAATTGCTGATCTTAATCAGCACAATTGAAAAGAGTATTTGAATTCAACGTATGATTTTGCAGGAGGAGCAATACACAATAGCTTTCCAATGTCACCAGGCACACAGAATCATCAATTTTTGTCCCGACATATGGCCCAGTGGATAAAAGTGTTGGTTGGATCCAGTGATTTGACCCAAAGATTTGTAACCAGCAGCATTTCCCTGACAATAAAATTTAGCAGATACATACCCCACACTTTATGCCATTTATTATTACAAGGAAACCTTCCACTTGGTCAAAAGCTGCTTTTTGATTTTCAGTGAGAAATCAAAATTGGGATATTGACCAGAAGACAGACGAAGCAGTCTGCTGTAAAGCAACGACCATGGGTTGTCCAAATACCAGCACAAGCCGCAGAGTATGTAGTGATAACATGAACGTATTTATTAGAAACTGATTTTATTTTGTCAGAAAAAAAAAAAATTTCATTATGTTATGCAACAATTGATAACATCTTTTCAACTTTTGTAATGGTGGAGTGCAGAAAAATTCTCAGGACGACTCATATCCAATAATTTAAACAAACTGTTGTAATTTGTACTCCCCAATAAACTCAGCGGGGAGGATGAGGAAGCGATGGAATTCAAATGGTTGTGTGGCGGTCGGTCAAGATAAGACAAGGGGAATCTGTTTCTCTTTGTTGACCAGTTTTTATGTTTGTTGTAGTAGATCTTATCTGATTGGATAAATGAGACTACATTTAAATGAGACTGCCTGGAAAGCTATAAAAGGTAATCCCTTTTACCCCCACCCCCTAGACGGTCTGTCAAGCTCTGTTACTTACAGTGTTACTACTGCAAAGATAGACATTGCTTGTAAGCAATGAATTGAAGCAATTCATTGCAGTCTTGAACTATTGTTACCTGGGGATGCTGTGAAGTCCTTCTACCACAGGTAAGAGTTCTATCTTTTTTCTCCTTTCACGTTGAGTTTCAGATACGTTTCTCAGTTGTCTACCTGTTCGAGTCTGACAATTTTGGAAGCTCTTGACTGGGCCAAGATATTTTTTTAACAACTGTTCATGTGTGTGTGTTGTTGTGGTGGTGGTGTATGTGTGTGTCAGTATCAAGTTACAAATTGAATGAGAAAAAGCTTTATTCTTCTACATAGCACAATATATTTAAAATGATGCAACAAAACTCACTACGATGTACTGTTGCACATACTCTGTATTGTGATAATAAAAATACTCACAACTGGATCATAATTATAATATAGCCACTTTGTCTTTCCTTTGTCAATTTCTGCATCAAGTCAATCATCAAATAAGAAATTGCAGTAGAAAGTCAAAGGGAGTAAAAATGATTGTCTTATGTCAGACTTGGATTTCGAAAGTTCATTTTCT